CTTGCTTTCCTGGAATTCTGGAATTTGTACTTTTGTGGGATATTTGTCCTTCTCTGTCAGAGAGCTCTGGTGCCATAACAAACTACAGATCCCAGAACTCCACAGCATGGAGCCATGACAATTAAAGCAGTGTCAAACTGCATTAATTCTACAGTGCAAATGCAGCCTCAGATACTGCTTTTATAGTTCAGACAAAAATCCAGCACGGATTTACCCTGAAATGAAAGCCAGCTGCCAACACCGATTGTTGCCAAGTTTGTCTCCCAAGAAGTAACAGAAAGCGACAGGAATTTAACGAACAAGTGGCGCAGCAAGCAACGCATCCCAAGTTACTTTTTCCAATGAGACGACAAATGTCAAGCCCTTCACAAGCAATGAGAACTCAATGGGATTCAAAAAAGTAACTTCCTCAGTACTGGAAAATTACAAAATTTCCCTCTATAGACAACTGGTTATTTAAACTACTTGATATGACTGAATTAGATAAATTAACCTGCTGCTTAAATTCTAAGGATGTGGAAAATGTTGGGAAGCAATGGGCCCTAATTGTAGAATATTGTGAAAACAGCTGAAAAGAATAATGTCCAAAGGTTAAAGCAAAACCAGAATGAATTATTCTCCGAACTATGGAAATAAACTACAGTTTGAGATACAGAAATAAGGTAGTAAATCACAAGGCGAAAACATCAAACAAACCAAGTCTTCAGAAACCAGGTCCATAGGAAGTCAAGATTGATTGTAGGCTATTGTTTGTATTGTATCGTTTGTATGGAAAGATTATATTTATATAAGTGTTTATGTTATATGTTCGTCCTTTTAATGTTTGGTTGCTTATGTTTTTTATTCCAAACTGAGATTACAGTCAGCTCTGCACATCTGCAGCTTTGACTTTTGTGTATTTGATTATTTGCAGATTAATATATTCTCTCTAGGAATCACTAGGTCCTCCAGAGAAATTCTGCTGGAAGTTGACTATACAGTTGTGCTGGAGGATCTAGAGATTGGAGTTTTTTGTGGGTTTTTCGGGCTATGTGGCTGTGTTCTAGAAGAGTTTATTCCTGATACTTTGACAGCATTGGTGGCTGGCGTCTTCAGAGAATGCTGGCATGGAGGTGTGTGGGGTATATGTACTATGGGCCTTTACAGACTGCCAGAAATAATGCAACTTGAGTCCACTTTAACTACCCTAGCTCAGTGCTAGGGAATCATGGGAACTGTAGTTTATTGTGGCACCAGAACTCTCTGACAGAGAAGGCTCAACGTCTCAGAAAAAACTACAGTTCCCATGATTCCCTAGCACTAAGCCAGGACAGTTAACGTGGACTCTAGTTGCATTATTTCTGGCAGTCTGTAAAGGCCCTATGTGACCCTTGGTTGAAGAAGCGATTTGCATGTTAATCTGTGTGTTGGTCTGTTGTCGATTGGCAAGGCCTCAGGGTGGGAGGATATGCAAGGAGGATATGTGTGTCATTTAATTGATAATCCATTGCCTGTGGTGGAGTCTCCATCTTTGGAGGTCTTTAAGCAGAGGCTGGATGGCCATCTGTCGGGGATGCTTTGATTTTGAGTTCCTGCATGGCAGAATGGGGTTGGACTGAATGGCCCTTGGGGTCTCTTCCAACTCTAGGATTCTATGGTTCTATGATTCTATGAAAACCCCTGACCCTGGATGGTTTTCATTTGCACATGCTGGGTCTTGATTTTGGTGTTTTTCAGACCTGTTATATGTGGTTTTCCCACTTTCACCTGTGCCCCTATCCCCCGCAAATGTGGGGGGCCTACTGTAATTTTTGAAAAAAGTAACTTCCCTGGCTCTGCCAACTCACCCAATGCTGCAAGGACCACCACCGCCACGACAAGCAAGACAACGAAGCCATAGAGGATTTTCACGGACGTTTGGAGAGTCAGGGTCTTCTCGCATTGGCTGCAGTTGGTCCTCATCCGGCCTGCGAAGGATGGACAAAGACGGGCATGAGCAATTAGGGGAGATGGCTGGGGGCATTGCCATGCCAGGTTGGCATGGGACCCCCACCCTGCGGGGTTCGTGTCAAGAGACAAGATCTCCCACCCTTGCAATAAATTGGGAGAGCTGCTCCCCATTTGTAATCCCATTGCTCTTACCATTTGGCCTGTATCTGAACGGGGGCATCTCCTCTTCTTCGCCAGCGAAGTCTTCCTCTAAAATGCAATAATAGGGTTTTAAAAGAATCATGTTTAAAATGTCACAAACAGCCAAGCAGTCAATGATAATCCAGGGTTGGGCTCCCAAAACAGTTCCTCCAGACCTCCCTTTTCCTTGCAAAAAGATAAGGTGAATCTCCTCTTCTGGAAAATCCTCTAGGCTTTTTAAAAGAATCATGTTTAAAATGCCTCAATCGGCCAAATACAGAACTAGTGCCGCTAAGCCAGGGTTGGGCAAGTGGTGGTCCCAGGGCCCCATTTGGTCCCCAGAACGGTCCCTCTAAACCTCCCTTTTCCTTGCAAAAAGTTAAAGCGAATCCCTTATTCTGGAAGCCTCTAAGGATGTTATCACACGGGGGAAATCTGCTGGTTAATCCACACA